CCCCCCCCCCCCCCCCCCCCCCCCAAAAAAAAGGCTGAATGGGTGAATGGCGTATTGTAGCAGATTAGTTTATTCATTTCCATAAATTGCAATGTCCAGTAATAAACCACAATTACATCCCACCACCTAACAAATAACTTTTAAAAACATAGAATTTAAGCTTGGACCTTCAGTGATCCATTAAACCACCTTTTATTGGTGATCCATTGAACCACCTTTTATTCGTGATCCATTGAACCACAGACTCAACTCGTTTTTGAGTGCCATATTAAACTAGCAAGCCATACAGGAACATTAAGATGATACAAGTGACAGAAAATGCATCATCAACCTCTACAACCACTTACAAATATATCATCAATCAAATAGATTTTTAGGCTGGGATACAAACAATACAACATGAATACGTTAATTGGCTCCGTTACCTTGTCGCTGTGGTGTTATTTCCGAGGCAGCATACAGAAGAAGTGAGCTAGCTTTTTGTCCCTCAGCTCCAAGTGATGATCCGGTCCGCCGCAGCGCAAACAGACAGCGGCAGCAACTATCTGCTTCGTTGGCACCGGGGGGCCACTTTCTCCTCCGAAAAAAAGTCACGGTAGGTTTCCCCTGCTCCTCATTCCCTCCACAACTTCCCTCCGCAGAGGAAAAAAAAAAGTTTACGTTTGTATTAGAACCAAATGCGGGAAGAGTTTGGTCACAGGGGAAGGAAACCAAATCCCGGCAGCGCCTGCGTGGACCTCTTTTCCTCGGTCTAAATCAGGGGAAAGCGGAGATGCGAATCCGCAGAGCTCCGCTCCTCCGGCCCGAAGCACGCAGTGTAACACAGAGCTCTTCCGCTCACCACCTTCAGAATAAAAACAGAAACTTGGGCCCCCAGTTGTAATGGTTAAAACTGCTTTGAAATGAGCACTAAAAAAAATAAAAATCACTAGAATTAATTTTAGTAGAGCATGTTCACAGTTCATAACTGTTCACAGTTATGAGCAGGAATACATTATGCTTATTTGTGTATTTGTATTTTCACTACACATATGAGAGGTATATTTGTAGCCTAATTACTGTAGATATAAGTATATTGGCCTAGTAATATAAGGATACACTGTAGCGCAAATGCAAGTATACATAACAAAAGCCTCTATTGCATTGATACAGCTACACGAATATACTATTACATTTTTAATAAATACACTGCTAATATACCGTAGATGCTTTGGAATGAAAGACGCAGATAATAATAACACAAACAGAGAGAGGACTTATTAAAACATACAACCTGATACGTAGAACGGAGCAACTGGAACACACACACACACACACACACACACACACACACACACACACACACACACACACACACACACACAGTATAATCTTTGTAAATCGTTTACTAACTCATCGCCTAACAAGTTATTTTATTTTGAAAGCACATAATAATCTTTTCCCGTTTTATTTTTGTTCAATGTTGCTGACTTAATGCATCTCCAGTCTGTCGACGTCACTGCTAGAGGACAACCCCACTCATATAATTGCCTATTTATACAGATGCTGGCAACGTGTCTATTCGACGTAACATCAGTCTGTACCTCCGTCAGAAAGGGATTTCTGTCATCAGCATATTCTTCATCATCGACGATGAAGACTGCTCTTTAATATAAACAGAAATGGTACTGAAAGAGCATGACTGACTTGTTGTGACGCCACTGCATTTACTCCTGTGCTGACATCTAACAATAAAACAAACATGCGCTATATGAAAGTTATATTATTTAAGGCCCTCTGACTATTTTATTTTTCGTCCCTCGTGGTGATTTGATGTGTCATCAGCAGTTAGCATAAAAACATGAAGAACATTCAGTCCCACCCTCAGCATAATAAATAAATAATAAACACGTTATTGCTGACTGTGTGTATCTAAACCACAGGTTGAATCACCAACTTCATTGTTAATCATTGAATTAAAGCTGTTGTCATCCCTGAAATGAATTATTGGTGGATGACAGCTACCTTGCAAAAAGTGCTGATGACAGATTTTAGAGTAATGTCATGGCCGAAGTTTCTTTTTTGAAACTTTTGCTACTGTGGAACGAAAACCTTGTATGTAAAATGATGTAATTGTATCTGCCTCTTAAACTCATTTCTCTTCCTCGTAAATCACACTTCCTCTCCTGATGTGTATTTGGTTATCTGCAGTCTAATTAAGTTAAAGAAAGAAAGAAGGCACCCGCATATTGTGTGCAAAGATTTTCACCGCACATAAACAACATTTATACTAATAAGAGCGTTTTCCCCCACTATTCCACAGCATTCGATGCCACATAAAACAGAGCCAAAGACTGCACAGTTTTGGGCTCAGTTTCAGTAAAAATAATCAACCCAGCCAGTCATATATTTGTTTTAAACTTAGTGGAAAGTTATTTCTGCCTCAGCACTTGGGATGTAGTGGAAAAAATGTAAGAGAAAACAAACTATCACGTCCGGAAGATCCTCGAATCCTGTTTAGTCTCTAGGGAGTGTTTACAAGGGAGTGCAGCTTTTTTATCTCCCTCCCTGCCCCCTCTGAGATGGGTGAAAAGTTCAATCTGGACGGAAACTCTGCATTTAATACATTCTCTTCCTTGTTGTTGCATTTTTTTGTTGTTGTTAATATGCATTTTGGAATTAATTGTTGTACATCACAACTCATGGAAGGGTTTCACTGATATTAATTGCTTTTTATCCTTTTTTTTTTGTATTGTCATGATTTTAAGAGATCAAACCTTTTTAATTAAGTGTATAATATGTCTTCACTGAGGATGACGGATTTTTTGTGTTGTTGTACAAACAGTACATGTTAGTACTCCCATGACTTCTGGAGCCTCCCTGTGGTCAGCATGGAAACAGGGACACGTTCCTGAAAAAAAGTGCAATTGTTCACACTTTCTTGCTTTTCCTTTCATAGCATCCACAATCCATGTGGTTAACATCACATTCAGAACAAACAACTGCAATGACAACATGACAATAAGCTGATATTATTACTAATACTGTTAGGAATTGTTCTGTTCTATTAAAGCAATCATTAAGCAAGCATTACATAACATGTTTGTAGTCTAATATGTGTCTCCTAAAACTTGCTTTCATTTCTATGGATGATAAGTTGGAAAGGAAAACAGTGAACCATGCACTGGTAGACCAGCTGAACTGACTTTCACGAACACTTTTTGTTCTTTAGAAGGCTGTGTGCCTTGTGTGTGGGAAATGTGATACTAAGTTAGTTTTATGTAGAGCAGTTCTGGTGGTAAACCTTTCAACTCCACATCCACGAGACACTTGTACTTTGTAGTAACATTACTCCACTGAGCCATCCAGTGGTTAAATGGAAAACTGCAGATAGAGTTTACGTGTCTGTCAGGGGGGCTGCTGGATGATTGTGTTTAGTAGTGGAAGAAATATCCACTTCCTTTACTGAAGTGAAAGTACCAAGACAACAATGCAAAAATAGTATTCAAAAAAACATTATCATTAACGTTTACTTCAAGTATCAGAAGTAACTAATTTTGCAAAAAAAAATGCCGACTGTGATTCATTTTGACCGATTGTATTCTATCTATCAGCAATCTGTTTGTCAATACTCCAGAGATCATAAGCCCATGATGAGAAGAACGTTTGGGTTGCCAGGTTGTGGCTGATCTTCTTTACTTCTTCATGTGGAGTTGTGATGGAAAAGGGCTGCATCTGGACCAGGATCCATTCATTAACAACCTATCAACATGAAGGATTATTAGAAAGTGATAAAGTAATGTCCCTTTATTAATGATTATTGGTGGCTGATTATACATTCATGACAACATTATTCCTGATCAACCTGGCAAAATCAAAGTCAATCGTATTAAAGGGTAACTTCGGTATTTTTCAACCTGGGCCCTATTTTCCCCACGTTAGTTCTATCTAAGTGACTAATGGGGAAATCATTTTTAGAAATTGTTCTACAGAGAAATAAAATGTTTTTCCTCTTCCATTCACTGTCAGTCAGTCATTGGGTCATGTGACTTGCTGCTGCAAGACAATGGTGGAAACGTGAGCGAGCTTTGGAGAGAGGAGCGCCGCTGTTGTCAGAGTTTGTTGTGTTGGAGTTCAGAAAAAGTGCAGCTTGGCGTTGCTTAAAAGATTTTCACCCTCACGGCTGAACATTTAGATGATTTCAACAACGTGTTTGTGACGCGAGATTTCTGGAACGAGACTTCTCCTTGAGCGGGACTTCGCCTGACACAAACAGCCCGGATCAATACAGGTAAAGAATAAAGTTGTATTTCTCTGTAGGGGTCTTTCTGTAATGATATCAGAAAGCTATAATAATAGTCTGACCCTGTCAGTGGCAAAAACAAGCACTTTGCGCAATTGCCCGATATGATGAGATTGCAGCCCGTTTAGCGGCTGCAATCTGCGGCGTTCCCCTGCAATTCTGGACCAATTTCACAAATTGTTGTCTTACACACCAAAAACCTGGCTAAATGGCGACCAGGTTGAAAAACACAGGCGTATAACTGTGTTTCTTTGTATGGGTATATCATTTTAAATTTTTCAATTCGTTGATTGTTCTCTAGAGCACTTTAAGCTTTAATTATCTGTTAAGTGTGCAACAAAGATAAACGATTGATGATGACTTGCATGCTTGACTAATTAATTAATTAAGTCTTAAGTATTTCTATGCAAGATTCAAGCCGTTTCAGAAGAGATAAGAGAGGATCTAGCGGGGTTGCTGGGTTACAAATCTCTCGCAGTTAATTGCGTGTGGAGAATGTGCAGCCGAATGATGTTACCAGTCTAATTTGCTTGTTTATGATAATGGGAAGGGGGGGGGGAGCTTTGCTGCAGTTTATCCAAGATGTGCTAACGTTGAAAGACAGCAAGCGTCATAAATAATTGCTGATATTCTTTCGCCTCACGTTCAGACCTTGAATTTTAAAATTAAACTATGAACTACTAATTCCCCGTCCATAATCCCCAAAGTGCTTGTTTTTCAAAGTTGTTTCTTGTCGGTGTGCTGCCAAAATAACCCACCACTAGTTCAGGATGTGGTCTTACCTCCTCAGATGAAAAACACATCAGTGAAAATGAAGACTAAGCCTAATTCCTGCTAATGATAGACCGAGAAGAAAAGCAGCTGAGCGCCTGAGTGTAGCTGCATCAGCTCCCCATTAGTGGTCAGTGGCCGCCCTTCGCTCTGTGCCATGATCGCCACCGCTGTTTACTACTCTTAATAGGTGGAGAGTCCTCACATTAGACACCACACTGGAGTTGTTTCCATCTGCTCTTGAGATCTGAGAATAAATGCTCACCATTCATGACTTGGTGTTGGAGTAAATTAGTCAATCAGTTTGCATTTTCTCTGCTAATAAATCTACCACAACAACTTAATTGCACTGTAATTGATAAGTAACCAAGTAAATGAGCCAATTCTTTCATCTGAAGATGCCTTTTATTCATGTCTTTGGAAAGCGACGGCTGGGAGACAAAGATGACAAATCGCTCTTGTTTACATCACCATCTCGCTGACTGAAATAGTGCTTTCAACATTACTTTGATGCAAGAAACAGATGTTGCGTCAAAGAGCTGCTTGTGAGGCTGCTGGTTACCGACTGTGATGTGGATCTGACTGGAAAGGAAAAATAGTTCCTGGATCACGACACAAACATTCTTTTAAGGCTTTGCTGTTTATTCATTTTTTTTTTCCTACAACAGCAAATTACAGAAGCAGTATTGAAAATAAAAGTCTTCTTTTCTTGTTCTCGTAAAAAAAAAAGAAAAGAAAAAAAAGGAATCTGCACAAAATTTGAATGACAGTACAAAACGAAGCGTTAATATGCCATGTAAATGGAGGGAGAGGGACATTACTGTTGGAAAATCTTTTATGCCTTTTTCAATAATGAAAACATCTCAATATTTTGTACATTTCAGAATTATATCACATAATCTGAAACTCTATATTTATATATATATAAAAAAGATGAAATAAATGAACACATTTTTTGTGTTTTTGACTTCTGTTTTTTTTTTTTTGCAAATGAACGCTATAAACACATAAACCTCTTAAATATATTTATCAGTGCAACATTGTTTGTTTTGAGTCCACGCTACAGTATCCTTTTTCTCTAGTTCAGCAGACGTCGCTGGAGCTACAGTCCTCCGTTGACGTAAAGGTGAGAGGAGTGAGGAGGTCAAATCTGAAACGAACAAGCTGAGAATGTGTAACACCACGGCACGACGAACAGAGCACACTGATGTAAAAGACGTCCTCCTTCTCAGGATTTGAGTTTTTTGATTGTTTTATTGTGGCGCGGGGGAACCACAGAGTTGCGTTCCCGCGGGCCCTTGTGTCCTGATACTGTCATTCTCACGGGGAGTTCGCACAGAGTCCCTTCCCCTTGTAGTGTCTAGCGGTGGGATTGTCCCATCCATCCATCCATCCATCTGCAAACAAGAGTCTCAATAGAGATCTGAAGAGTTCACGTCGAGGGGACATTTGCACTTGTTTGAAGCTTAAAAAGAGATAGAAAAAGAAAACAGCTTTTCTCTACAAGCATCCTATCATCCCCCCCCCCCCCTTCTCTCCAGGGAGCTCTGACAGGGCAAAGCGAGTAGTCAGTTCTTCTGTGAGTGATGATGAAGGGAACCGTGGTCTTATAGTATTTTGTAAGTGAGAACCCCCAGTGAACCAGAAGGGGGCCACCGTCCTTTGGTAAAGCCACGGAGGGGAGGCCAGGTGACCTGATTCAGGTGACGTCACTCGATACCCCCCCCCACGCTGCACCAGTGTCCCGTCCTATAATGACATCACAACGTTATGGCTGCTACATGTGGAACACGTTAAAAAAAAAAAACTCCGCGGTCCGAGAGGCCTTGAAGCTACAATACAGCATGTGAACAATTACAAACTGGGTTCATCGTGAGACAAACGTGTCTGGCTAAAGTAATGATAGCACCATTCTTCAGTAAGTGTGTTTAACCCCTCTTCTTATAGGCTCCTATCAGGAGGGGATCAGTGACAAAGTGCATTCAAGCTGCATTGTCCGGATAGCACTTCCTCAGTGAACAATCCACAGTGACGTTCGAAGGTGACGAGTAGTCTAGGTCTTAGCTAAAGCAAAGCGATGGTGATTGTTGATTTTTTTTTGGTAAGCTGGCAAACATTTAGTATATTTCACCACCTCCTCTGCCATCGACATGAGCGTGTTTGATGTAAAAATGCTCTGGTGACCAGTCAAACTCACAGCGGAGATATGATGAAGATATGAGAGATCAGTCGAAAAAGAGTTCATCAATGTCAGATGTTTTTTTTTTCTTTTTTTTTTTTCGTTACCTCTTGATTCATTCGTCTTTCGGTGGTTTTCGTGAAGTGGCTGTTGTCTATGACAGATGGCTTGAATGCACATTGAAATCGCTGTAAGACCACACCAATCTTACTTGTCTGAGCAAAGTAATCTAAAATAGAAAAACATAACACTGCACCTTCCACAAAACAGTCAGAAGATTGTATTTACACACATACAAACCCATGAAAAAAGGGATACTGCAGCTTTTTTCTTTCCTTTTACTTTCTTTAAAAAGGGCAATAAAATATATTAAAACGTATTTACAGTGTGTGGTTTTTGGACAGAGAACAACAAAAAAACAAAACAAAGCGCTGTGATAGACTGTCATCCTGTTCTGCAGGTATTTATAAGATCATGTGCACCTGTTTTCCTGTGATCACAACTTAGGCCGAGTACTCTAAAAAACACCCAGATCAACAGAGGAGGCCAAACCGAAATGTACTAAAGGCACTGTCAGAACCATACATTGCCGTGAGTGGGACCCTCACATTAGAGTGATAGAGGTCAAAGGGGAAAGGGTACATGTTTCAGGGTCATGGGTTATGGGCACACCCTGTATTTTAGGGCAAATCTACAGTTTTGCCGGATATGGTTCATTTAGGATTTTGATACGTCTCTTCCAAAACCTGAAAACTAACAACAGCCTTCATAAACTGATAATAAAAACAAACAAACATTTCTTTCCCAGAAAACGATAAATACTTTAAACATTATTAATAAATTGGTCTCAACACCAGCATCCGATTGTAAAAATGAATGAAAATCAAAATAGAAAATTAAAATATCATCTAAATCATCTGTACATAATCTTTTTTTCTGTATTTTATCTGTACACAGTGTCCCCTACTGGTAGGTTCTTTTTACTGCAGCTCCTGAGAAAAGCGTGGATCAGTTCGACCCTCCCATTGGTTCCTGAACATGTCCCTCATCCAGAGAGTTGAGGGCGTCAGCAGTCCTTTGAGCCGGCCTACTCGTGGATATACGAGAAGATATGCCTACAGCCAGTCTTGTGCACGCTCTGCGAGCTCTGCACGTTATACAGTCACGCAAATGCACCCGGTCCCATCTCACGCCTCTGAGTATGAGCTCTGTACATTGAGTTTGTCCTTCTTTAGCTTGACACCGTCCACGAGTTCAAAGTTATAGTTCTCCAGGGCTGATAAGTTCCTGTCCGACATGCCTCCGTGCGAGCACGCGCAGTACAAGACCACGCCGCAGATGGCGCCGAGGAAGACCCCCAGGGCCGACATGGCGATGATGGTGATGAGGATGGGGTCGAGCGTCTTCAGCATGTTGCCGGCTCCGCTGATCTGGTTGGTCTCCACGAAGTCTGGGTATTCAGTGATCTCCTCAACTGGAGGGGCGGTACAGAAGCAGAAGCGAAGAATGAGATGGGAGGTATCACATGAACTACAAAGGGTCTGAAGGTGAGAAATTAGTTCTCACGAAACGTGATACTGCTAAATAAACCCTCCGTGTGAAATGACTTACGGATTTCGTTGAAGCGATCCTCTGGCAGCATCGGCTCAGTGGGTATGTCAGGATCTGTTCGAACAAAAATTCGAATGAAATCCAACAGCAGTTAAAAAATGTCATACTTCAGATCAAGAACTGAATGCAGGCATTGTACCTATGAACTCTAAAAGCCTCACCTTTACAGTCCGTCATGCTGAGTCCATTGAGAACCTTAATGTCATCCACAGCAATATCCCCCCAGCTCTTTCTCTCCACCAGACTTTCGATCACCACCTTGTGGAAAAAAAGCACAGGGTTGTTTTTTAGGCAACCTTTCCTTGAATGGAAAGAGCACCGGTATGGCGGTAAACGGCCAAACAAGTCACAGACCACTTGTGATTTACCTGATAGGGTTTATTGGTGCGGGGCACAAGGACACGACCTTCCCTCCAGCGGTTGCCTTGGTGACCGCTGACCGTCCACAGCAGGATGTCGGCCGGTCCCTCAACAGTCTGCTTGCGCTGCTTGATATGCAGTGCGCCGATGTGTGGCCCGAACATGTGGTACCAAAAGGACACACACAGGTCTGAGTCCGGGGAGCTGACCACTGGGCTGACCAGCCGGGCCACCTCGGTCTCTTGGGGACTTGACGCCAAGGTGTAGATGAAGTTCCCTGATCCACCTGTTTGGATAAAAGAAAATGTATCACCGCCAGACAAAACAACTCTGAGGCTGAAATGCACGTAGTGCATCAGGACGTTCGGCCCAACTAAGCGGTACCCTGCAGGGCCCTCACCTGTGTGGTCCATGTTAGGTCCAGTGTTGAGGGTAGGGGTGCCGCTGGACTGGATCTGCCACCTGGAACCAGTGTCCTCTGATGTCCAGCTGCAGAAGGATGGGTCATTGGCCCAGCCGAAGTCGCAGGCAAACCACAGGAAAGCTGCAAATTTGTGGATGAGAGGTCAAGATCATGTGTCAGGAAATCAAGTTTCATCATCCTCCTTGAAATTGCAGAGAGCTTTGGGCTTTAACCAAACAATGAATAACCTGGGGGCCTGTCATGATATGACTGCAGGCTACACTTTGGGGCTTCATTCACTCATCCTGATCAGCTTCAAGCACTAGAGGGCAGCAAAGAACTGTGGGACGTAACTTGGAGTCCCTTTGCTTGGGAGACAGACTTTGGACAGTTATGGCCCTAACATGAGAAAGCAGCGAGCCGAGAGCATCAACCTCATGTAGAACGTATTTCTTGGCTACAGTTAATGATCTCCTGTAATGACCGTAACAGGGTATATAAAAGAGCTATAGAGGGACACTGAGAACAGGGACAAGGGAAGAGGAAGATGGGGTCTGGACATGGCGTCCAGTGGAGAAAGCAACATTCAAAGCAACCCGCAGAGAGCTCAGGATTTTAATGAGAGCGGAGACTTGAGGTTTGAAGACAGCTATGGTAACAGTGCTGGGGCCCTATTCCAACAATGCAATCCCCCATGGACACTCGTCGCGCTGAGGAAACTGTGTGGGAGCTCGGGCTTTAGTGTTTTGCAAATTGGATAAAGAAGGGCTTCCATTGAACGCAAGGGACCGGGATGTTTGGGATGTTAGCCATGGCCTTAAACTCCAGCATGAGATGCCTTTAGAGAAACGGTGAGGCGGCTCTCCGGATGACAGAATGTATGAGCCAATATTCCCTTTAATAATGGGAAGGTTTTAACTAGCTTCTACAGGCAGCGACTCTATTTACCCATTAAACACAAAGGATGGAATTCCCATGTGGAACAGCAATTCAGACGCCAACCCACTTTTTTTTCTTTTTTTTTTGTCGAGACATCCCATTCCCAATTAAAATGACTTTTTTCCATTCTTGGGAGGCTTTGACTGTAGCTACCAACAAGCTCTGGATAAGATGAGTGGCTACATGACTCACTTGGCAGTTTCATGAAGAGAGACTTGCCGAATGCCAAGGGAAACTACATCCTCTGAGATTAGAGCGCAGGGCGCGCCGCACAGACACCCAAGCAGACACGGACACACACTCGCATACACAGAACTGATTAGCATGCACGGTTCGAGACTCTTGAAATGAAAAGTCAGGCGGATAAGTGTTTACCCACAGAAATGTAGTTGTGTTCATAAATATATATATACACACACACACACACACACACACACACACACACACACACACATACACTTCGGGTCTCATCTATCATAGCTGGTGCCCCAGCAAACTGCAGACAGAGTGAAGGGGGCTCGGTGGAGCCTATGGCCCATTAGCCAAGGTCAGACTGGGGCACAGCCTCTCAGCTGGCTGCTGCCTCATCAACCTGCTATAGGAAACAGCACTGTGTGTGTGTGCGTCTGTGCAAGTGACCCCAAAGCACACCCAATTTCCTGTGGTCATTTGCATTGTGCTTCCCTATTTTTGTGCCGTGTTGCGTGTGTGTGTGTGTGTTTAATGTGTCAGTGTTGGACCGGTGATTAGTGATTATGCTGAGGAGGCAGCAACAGAGCACCAGTGCTAATCATCAGCTAGCTCTGCATCACGCAACCTCCCTCACCCTGTCAGCAGGAGCCTCTCAGGGCCATATCATCAGCTTTAATAACAGGCACACAGCAGTGGGGAGAGAAGCCGCAGTGAGCTGGCATTCATTAGCTAAGGTACGCTTCATGATAAATCTATGGAAATGAATCCAAAAAAATTAAAAACCAAGAGCAGTTCGATATCTACTCTATGTTTCAACATTCTGGCATGTCATCTTAGTAAGACTTGAAATCATTGATGAGAAAGAAAAATATAAGACAATTTTCTCACCTGGGATGGTATCCACTTCAGCAGTGGTGGTCTCTGGCATCGTGGTAACCCCTGCCACAACACATTAGCATTGTTAGCCTAGCAATGGCAAGAGTTAAGTTTCTTTAAAAAAAATAACTGCACACATTCACCTAATGTATCCCTGCTAGCTAAATATTGCTAGCCAACACATGCCTTGTCTTTCCCTTCAGTCTGATAAGGACCCTGTCTCGGTATATCTACCGTGACGCACTTAATGTAATACTTCCAAAACATGTGACTGAAACGGTGCCATGCTCATCATTGGAGACTGCTGGTTAATGGGGAGTGCAGGCAGCAGTGCAGGCTCAGAGAGTTACAGGGTTAGTGGGAAATGAGGCCGAGAGGAGCGCGTGGAAAAGAGGGTGCAGGCAGACAAAGCGGGTAAGAGATGAAAGGATAGAGAGAGAGAGGCAGAGCTGGCTGCCGGTTGGTTTAGAAGCAGGTGTGCGCATTTGGCGATCTCCGGAGCAAGTGTGACAATCGTCTAATGTGACTTTGCAGAGGCGGGGGTAAAAGGGGAGATGGGAGCTACAGGTGCAGATAATTAGAGCAGTGTGTACGCCGGCACGCACCGGGATGCGTGCCTGCGAGTGTGCACAGTAGGTGGCAGATTAGCCGCGGTATCAAATCTAACCATAAACAGAGAGCGGTGAAGCTAGGAAAGTGGAGCAGATTGAGTGTGAGCCATGGCAGACGGAAGGGTAAGAGGTGTGGGGGTTTGGGGGTTAGGTTGCAGTCTCATGAGGGCGATGTTAGCACCTGTCACGTCGTAGTCATCACCTGTGCCGCTGTGGCAGGTCGCCTGGTCGTCGTCACACTCGTCCGATGGAGTAGTGCTCGGGACAAACGTGGTAGGCGGGAGTGTAGGAGCTGTGAAGACGGAGGAGAAGGGAGACGGCAGACATTATAGAATCGATTTCAAGTTGCATTTGTGATTTGGTTCACATTCAAAAAATTCAATCATTTCTATGTTTTTCCTTATTGTTCAGAGAAGGTGCGCTGATGTGGACCTGTAGCTAATGCAGAACATTACATGTCTGTTGTTTGGTCTGATCACTATCTGTAATTTCTGTGGTAAAAATGCTGCAGGGTTTGAATTCACATCACATTCATTTGGCACTCTTGTCCAAAGCGACTTAGGGACAATAGCCGGAAAATGGAAGTGAATACCTCTCAGACAACCAAACACTGAAAAAAATTTGACGCAAGCAGCGTTAGCATGAGGAGGAGATGTAGTCTGAAGTAGTGGGTTTTCAGCCTGCTTCATAGTTTAAATAGCGGAAAGAAAAGAAAAGGAAAGGAAAGAAACACTAAATTGTGTATTCAGAAGCTCAGCGTGTTCTGCCCACAGTTACCCACTGGGCTACAATCTAGGCCTGAGCTATTAGCATCCCCCCTTTCATCATGCTGTGAAGGTGTGGGTGTGTAAATAGAGTTGAAGCTAAAGCACGGTTGCTTCGGGCTTGGGCGGCTGAAACCTTAAGGATGCAGAAACGGGGCTTGGGATTGGCTATAGGCAGGGCCCCTGGCTGCCATAGTGTCCTATCATTATAGCCCCGCCACGCTTAGATGTGGGCATGGCCCTAGATCCACTCCACGCTCCACTGCTGCACAACCGTCCTGCGGTGTGCGTGCATTTGTATGTGTTTACACTGACGGAGTAATGATCGAGAGGAGGGGAGAGGTGGAGAGAGAGAGAGAGAGGCATAGGGGGAAACTGCCTGAAAAATGGATGTGTACTGTATCTGTGTGCGTGTGAGCCAATGCTCTCGCTCTCTCTCCCTGTGCTAGATGAAATATGAGGCAGATCAGACCCTGTCAGATTCAGGGTGGTGAGGGTCAGGGATGGGGTCAGCGCTGCATCAGGGGAGCCTCTCAAAGAAATGAGGATTTGGCCCTCCTGCTATGGCCTGCTTCACACACACACGCTTGTACACACCAGTACGAGCACCTGTGTGTGTGCCTGATTGTGTATTCACGCCAGTAACCACATATTTGGCAGTGTGATTGCGGTCGTTTGCTCTGTGTGTGTGTGTGTGTGTACCTCTGTGTGAGTATGTGTGTGTGTATTTGGCATTAACACTGAAAACAAGCATTATCATCTGACTAAAGCTCCCGGTGGGAGTCCATGAGGCTTATAACGGAATGGGCCTCCCTGAAATCCAATATGTAAATCCACTTAGGGCTAGTGCGCTACACGCTCTTATATCGCTGAGCTGTTTGTGTGCTACGTCAGCTTTGAGAGAGACGGATAAAGAGCTGGGGCAAAAACAAAATAGGGGTAATTTTAAAGATAGCAAAGTGTGAGTGTGCGGTCCTTTGAAAGAAGAAAGACATGCAAGGGGTTGGGAAGAGTGCGATGGGGGCCATGCTGCAATAATCCTACTGGGCCAGGTGGGCTTTCATTTGTTCCCCTCCAGAAGTGGCTAGCTATGGGGGCAGCTTTGATGTAAGACAACTGTCACTTGTAGGGATAAAGAAGAGCAGGAGCTGGACAGCTGTGGGATCAACACAGGAAGCACCCACATCTTTAAATAACCCCGACCGTGGCAAAGACATGAAGCCCAAGCTACTTGCAGCCATGTCATCAGCTGAGATGATAGATGTCTCATCTTTGAGCGCTTCCAGACATGTCAGATGTTAACACATATAAAAGCAGTCTGGAAACAAACACACGGGGTCAAGGTGTGCCCAGTAAGGATGGCATTGTGGGTAGTAAATAAATGTTCTGTCAAAAAAAACCGTCAACACCAGGAGTGAACATTTCATTGCCATGGTTAAAAGCGTCGCCACAGCTGGAAATGCCATCACCATGGGCAAAAACGTCTCACCCTGGGTAGTAATTTTGCCACCATTACTGCCGGTAGAGAGGTCGGCACCACCAGGTAGAAATGTCACCACCATAGGTAGACATAACAAAGCCTTTTTGGCATATTTTGCACCTAATCTCAAGTGATACCTTAGACAGAGTGCACAAAATGCATTGGATTTCAATAGAAGTTCCAGTTTACCTTCGATCTCGCAGCCCAGGAGCTCAAGTCGCAGGCCCATGCCAGCAGGAGTGGCCCTCTCTGGGTAAATTCTGATGAAGCGGGTCAGCAGGGGCTCCACCGTCCTCAGCTCAGGGGTGTCGTAGTTGCTATTCCCTTCAAATATCTGGCAGGGAGACAAAAGGTGGTGGGGAAGAGGGACAAAGACAGAAGGAAAGTGTGAGTGAAAAAAAAATGTTGCTGATAATGTCTCTGCCAGGCATTTGACTCATACAGCTCCTCAAACGCAGATACCCCGAGGCAGACTCATCCCTGCCTTACGAAAACCAGAAGTGGGCTGAACGGGTGGCATGTGCCGGGTACAAAAGTAAGAAGAAAGAACAGAAGATGACCAGATCTCTCTCATCTTTCTGACACCTAAAGCACAGTTTCGACAGCACGACAAACAGCGCTGTCAAAAGCAACTTTCGGCTCCTTCAGATCCTCCTCGAGCAAAGGAATAGATGAGGGAAAAGAGGAGGATTTGGGATGCAAGAGTAGCAAGCAAAGGAGGCAAAGGAGGAATGATGGAAGTGGATTAATGGGTGTGATCACGTGAAGGAGCCTGGTGCACCTTAGATGCTGGGAACCTCTCAGGCGAGGGGAGAGAGGCGGCTAACTAGGACAGGAGGGGGGGTTATGGATCCTCCTTACTCCCTTCATAAATCAACCATCAGCCCATCTGGATCAGATTTATGCCCTGTCAGGGACGCTTGTAATTGGGGACTGGCTGTTCCAGCTCCTGGAGGTGTGCGTGGTTGTGTATGTACGTGCTCATATATATATACACACACATTCTATGTGTGTGAGTCTGTGTATGCATTGAGGAAAGTGTTGGCGTGTCTCTCCCGTGTGTGCAATGACACCGGCAGATAAATCTTGGGTCACTTCTCTCTGTTGCTCGTTCTTTCCCTTCTCCCTCGTTTTCCCCTGGCTCCCCTCACCCCTCCTTCCCCTCTGGAGAGGTTTCACTATCCATTGAAAGAGGGTTGAACGGTGGGTGTCGTGCAGAATACAAAGCAGGAGGATAGAAGCGGGAGAAGGCTCTGAGAGACTCAAGATGCTTATCCTAATGTGATTCAAAGCACTGCTGAAATTGACTCGCAACGACTCCTAAATGACTCACAACTGCCAGGCGCAACGCTCTGGTGAAAATTGACTAAATGTGTCATAATCGGAATTGATGCTCCGATGTGTCCGAGGGACTTTGTTGAGTAGCACGTCTTCAAATCATTTTCCCTATTGCGGAAGGTAAAACCTATCTTTTGGTTTGTGTATTAAATCAAACCAATTCCAACCCCTTTTCCTTGAAAGAAGTTTTGCCTCAACATAAAGAAAGCATTAAGGGTTCTTTGGTTAGGGTTATGCGTAGATTTGTAAGAAAAATCCAACAAATACACCAGACACTACTCTCACCTTTGGCTTGTTCCCACTGGTGTCCAACACCATCCTCCAGTCGGAGCCATTGTTGCTGTAGCCGAGGCGGAACTTCTTCATGAAGACCTTGTTCTCGCGGTGCTTCCCTCCCTGGATTATCAACCCTTTCATCAGCTTGTCCTCACCGAGATCCACCTGCAGCCATTCGCTGGTGAAGGGCTGGGGCTGGGGCAGCAGGGTCCAACCCGTCCTGCTGGTCAGCAGGCGGGCGTTCTCCGGTACCCAGCTCCGGTCCGTATGGGAGGATGCGGTGATCTGGTTGTCAGTGATCAAACCTGATACCATGCCCAGCATGCCCGAGCATGGGTACTCTGCAAGACAAAGAAGATGCTTAGCATTTTGATTCAAACCAATGAAAACCTACAGGGACAATGGACAACAAAATACTTCATCTATACCCTGATGTCCAACATCATTTGCCACGCCACTAGTCCAGTTGGTGAGTTTGAGGTTCATTTTGGTGCAACAGGGATGGTGAAAGTCAAAGCGAGTAGGACAATTCCCCAAACTCTTTGTGATGTTGCTGTGATCTCTGCCTCCATTCTCTCTATCTTTCTCTCTGTCTGTCTGTCTCATGCATACTAATTCCTTTGCCTGAAGCGGTTGTCTCCAGGCAGCCAATTAAAACCCTCCTCTCGGTTGGTGCTTCCACGTCCTGCACGTTCTGGGAGTGCTATTTCTTTTCATCTCCCTTATCCACCCCCTCCTCCCTCTGTAGACTCACATATACCAACACACAAAAACACATTCTCTTTGTGTTTTATCTGCTGCTGCACCTTCTGCTCCACAGCTGTCAACATCTGTAGGACTGTCTTTTAACACCTCGTTGTTTCCTGTCCACATTTTCAGACTTTCTTCTCCTCCTTTATTCTACTTCTCTGATCTTACCCTATCCTGACTCTGTGGGTGTTTTTTCAAGCTTCTTTGGATGTGTTTCCCATTCGTTTCAAATGGGAGACAGCTGTTTTCTTATTTCTTTTCCTCATCGATGCCATCCCTCCATATCAAAAGCCGAACAGGATAACAACCTGTTTGCTGCGGCTCGGAAGCATTTGCATGTTTAAACCTGAATTTCTTAACTTTCCACATGTTCTCCCCTTCGTACTCCTGCACGGGTATCCAGCGCAGTGCTTTCTAAGCTGTTGTTGGTGTCCTATCTAATGAAATGTTATTGATTGCTCATGACTGACAACAATTTTACTGGCACTGTGAACCAGGATGGATCCAACTTAACAACCTGATCAACATTTATATATTATATTGTATTATATTGAGTACCATTTTTTGTCCACCATTGTCAATATTTGTGTTTAACCCAGCCTCTTATTGCTGGTGGTCCACATAAAAATACCCGAATGGACTCTTTTTAAATCTTAAAAACTTTTGCATTTAATTTTGACATGACGTTTTTGAAGCATTCATTACTCTGTTGTACTTCCAGACTATTTCTTAGTTAGGGAGACAGTGTCATTTCTAAGATCTCAGTTGTATAAAAGCAAATTGTTACTTCATTGTTTTGCCAGTCCAAACTATAGATACATTTATTATTTCTCCATATTTATGTAACAGTTAGTATTACTAGCAATCTGTAGAACGTCATATTTATTGTGTCCTGTGGGTGTAAATAGCCAAGGAGAATACACTGGAGCTCACAAACGTTTCTCCACGATGAAATTACCTCTAGAGTTCTGACACTTAGCAGCTTGTATTCGGGGTAATTCTTCCTTTCTGTCTCTTCCTTACACCTAATCCCAAGACACCAAGTCAGGGACCTGTGGTAAGCAATAACATATTTACTATCTGGCTCCCACGGAGGAATAAATCTGGACATTATTACATTTTCTGTGTCTGTATGAGACAAAGTGCGCACTGTACCACTGCAGGTCTCAATAGCGTGGCTGCATCTGGGAAAAAACGAGCGAAGACTTGGGAGAACAAGGCCTCATTCAGACTTTTCTCTCTCTCTGCTTATCTAAATCGGTTCCTATGCAGACCCGTGAGACGGATCTCTGGTCCTGCAGTCTAGAGAATCGCAGCTCAAGGAACAAACGCTGGCAGTGCGGAAGCCTATTGACTGTTTTCGTGGGTTTTTCTACCTTCTTGCTTTCGTGTTTGGCCAGGATCTGTTTGAGAGCAATCACAGCCTCCGGTAGAGCAGAGTCTTTGAAGTGAGGGGGGGGGATTGAGAGAAAGGTATTCGTGTGTGTTTCTGATCGGAGTTCAGACTTTCCAGGGTCATCTGGAGCTCTTAATCGACTTCAGCTGCGATCATTGAAGCTTAATAGATGATGGCTTGCACGCAATGACACATCCAGAGGAACAAACTTGTGTGTGTGTGTGTGTGGACTGCGAGCGTGTAGATGGTGATACATGGCGGTGTGTGCCGCATTTAGGGTTTGGGTGGAGCATCAGTGGTTCATCAGAGATATTTATACACCATGGCGTATTTACAAACAACAGGGCGGTGGATCTTTTTATTAATGAGTAGCTGTTCGTGTCAGCGGGGGCACATGACCATGACGATCTAGGGAAGAACATCTTGCAACATTCTGGGGTACAGCTCCTCCTCTAACCTGATGTGCGACATATGGTCTTGACATCGTAAGTGGAAGTTGGGCACAGTTTTATGTAGCTCACATTTTGGTGCACTGTGTATACTTTTTTTGGGACAAGTAGAGAAAAAAAGTTCACATTTCTTTCAACAAAAGTTTTTTAGTAAAGTTCTGGTGTCATCTTTCTGGGTAGAGCAGAGTGAGTCACCGGGTTTAATGCAGCCCTCGAGAGCCTCACAATTTTCTCTCTCTCTCTCTCTCTCTCTCTCTCTCTCTCTCTCTCTGATTGTGGTGCCAGCATGCAGTGAAGCTGGCAGTGACTTCACAGCACCCAGGGGTGCTGACGTCCTTACTGAGGCCCTGTGGTGAACTTCGGCCCTGTGATGTGTTTAGGCTTTGTGCAGTGGTCTGGTCGCGCGCCCGAAACACACGCCCCTGCTGTAACCCTGCTGTATCCGCAGTGCCCTCTGCTATTACATGAAGAGCCACACATATGTGATGCATAACTCCACACACACACACACACACACACACACACACACACACACACACACACACATAACACATAACACATATGAGCACATTTGGCTGGCTACAACTAATCCGATGCCGTAACTGTAATCCAAGGCTTAATGCTGAACTAACAGCACTGACAACAAATATCCTATCCAAGTACAAACGAACGAAACACACAGACAATCACTAATTAACATTCAAAAACCCATAGAGATGCAGACGGATGGGTTAAAACCATATGAAAGCGAGCCACGCACAAACACCGCTGGTTAAAATAGCATCGACAAAATGGCAAAGATGAGAGGAGCTTTGCCAAAATCAAAGCTCTGTAAGTGAAAGACAGGCTGTGGCTAAAGAGGAGGCTGTGACCGGCTCAGCAGGAGGGGTGGGACCGTGTAGATCCCGCCCAGCTCCAGCTCGCTCTGCCCTCCAGATGGAGCCTCCATTTATATTGAATGAGGTACATCTAAACACGGGGTAACATAAATAGGTAATCTTCCTTCATGTGCCACTCCTCTATAATGCAGCAGCTAGCTTTAGCCTTAGAGCAGGACTCTCGCAGAAACAGAGCTTTATTGTCACACCTCGCAGAAGTAAGATGTTTGTGCAACCGGGGCCAGAGTGGGAAATACCCAGTATGTTGCAACAAGTAGGGAGCTGATAGCGGGGCATGCGCAGACATCCGAGGTGGCATCATCTGATTATTGCATTTGAAACTGTATCTGATTAGACTATAAGCAGTATAATGTAACGTTTTCGGTGGCAGCTGTGAGCCAAGATAGAGCTGGGAAGTGTGCCTGTATGCAAATCAGCAGGGATCTCGGCAGTACCAACCTGATATCTTACATCCATACACCTCGAAGCGCAGCGCGATGCCTGTTTCCCAGGTAACGGGACGGATCCGGACGAAGCGTGTCAGCGTGGGTTTGGGCAGCATCGTCTTGGCAACGTCTGTTGGGTTGGTGTTGCCTTGGAAAACCTGCGATAGAAGCAGGAGGAAAGTACATTGTTGACGCGTCGATTTGAGATGCCGGATGGAAGCTTGTCTGAGACCTTGGCTGCATTGAATCAAGAAACGAGAGCGGAGGCGCGTGGAAGATTCTCGTTTTGATGAGATTAAGATGCAGCTGGTATAATCTGAAAATGAACAAGTAAAAACAGCCGTAGCTGAGTGAGTACTGAGTCAAGATGTTCACACGTGGAAATCTAAATTACACATTTAAAAATACATTTTATGTGAGTAATCTGTCACAGCTAGCACTTCCTTTTGTGCCAGATGAAGCAGCCCAACCAGGCCGTGGCCTGTGACTGTGAAACCTGAGGCATAATGTGTTACACTGACAACTCCAGATTGGCTCAAGATGGCCTTATTCCTGTCCTCTGGTACCAGATTTAGTGGAGGTTTTACTGCAGTGTCTTGTTTAAAGGTCAGAGATGCCACTGTTCTCCCCTGGGGTTTGTTGACAGTTTACCAGCGGCCATACGAAGAGGCCGGCCACCCGGCAAAACAACTCCCCACAGTCCGTCACAGTTCATTCTGGGTAATTGAATCACACCGGTGACCATATGACCTCCTGACCTCCCCGACGGAGTAGCTGTGGGGCAGAGAGGAGTGCAGCAGAGAGGAGCTGGATGAACAGGCAGATCGAAAGGTAGCTAGTTCAGCTAATTTGGGATGAACTAAAACAACACCTGGTCTGATCCATTAGTCAGTGCAGTCCTTCTTCAACCAAGCCCCTGAGGAGCAATACCCGTCAACTGCGTCACTAAGGGGCCGCAACAAAGTCATCCACTCTCTTAAATGTCACGCAGAGTCTCCTCTGCGCTCAACTGTAAAGTGGCTTTTTCCAGAGCTGCGCTAAGACTCCAAACTGCAGGCTCAGCATGTAGCAAATGGTGCCCCTCTGCACAAAAGCACTTTAGAGTCTGGAAAAACACAGGTCGGGCCTGTTCGCATCACCTTTAAGCCGTCACTTTAAAGGGACTGTGTACTTTGGAGAGACCATGAAATAACCGGGCCCAGAGGCTTGTGTACACAGCAGCACAAACACGCTTGTTTGGATGCTCTGTTGCTGTTGACGACTTTTTTTGTTGCAGCCTTGCGCTCTTTCACTCAAAAATTCCTTGTGGTATTTATATGTCACACACACACACATGCCTCTCTGACCCTCCGGACACCCACAGTGGTCGGGGTGTTTGCCTCCAGATGGACAAAACCTGGTCCGATCAGCAATCGATGGTTACAGCCTGTTGCGCTCCGGTCAAGCGTCCTTTCCCTCTCTCACAGACACTCCTCCAGCAGCTGCTCAAACATGACAGCCTCTCCTCATTTCCTTCCCTCCCTGTCAACTTAAACTCTTGTTTGTCAAGTCTTTTGTCATCCCCAGCTTCATTTACAACAAGTTGAGGGGTGCCTGACATAAAACAGAGGCTACATTCCTTGCATAATCCTCCCTATGGCTACTGCAGAGCTGCATTAGCACCGCAGTCTGTGCTTGGAAAAAAAACATTGACTTGCACACACAGTGGGTATATTACCATGCAGAGGGAAGTGTATAATTGCACGTTGGGAGACTCAAGTACATATAGCTCGGTATTCCCCCTTTTGTCGAACTCAAAGGCAACTTGGAAAGGACCACAATTCAAATCAGCTGGCTGCTTTACCGAGACGGGATCTTTCGAGTGCAGTACATGTGCAGCGGTGGCTTTCATGACACAATCGCTGGTCAGGCAGGAGTAAAAATAAACTATTTTCATTATCTAGTCTACTCTAAGAGTCTCATGGAGAGCTAAAAGCTTTTCGGTGTTTCACTTTTTTCACTCATAATCTAGAGCCTAAAGAGGACGCCATTAGACCTCTGTAGGCTAATTAAGTTTTTAATCACAAACAGGTTGATGAATTGAGTCTCCTACCTTTTGTTTGGAGCCTTCCTTCAAAGTGATCCAGTCCTCTCCATTGGAGCTGACGTCCACTTTGTAGGACTTGATGAAGTAGATCTTCTGGGTCTCCTGGGAAACGGCGCCCTGGGTGCCGATGGCCGAGACGAACCGCAAGAACCCAAGGTCCACCTGTGGAGGGGTAAAAGAGAGAAGAGCCATGTGAGACAACGCTGCATAAAACGTTCCACGGGAGCAAGATTTTGCCTTCCAGTGTGTAGGAGAATGCTGATTAACTGGAGCAGACCCAGCTGAAATACACTGCCTGTTGAAATAAATATGTGTGAATCATTTTTGTAGAAAAGCCTTTCAATGCATGGCCTGTATTAACGACGCACTGACAAGCTCAGAGAGTTAAAAATATAATCCCGCTATTAGAATCACCTCTGGCCATAGTCTGCTACCTGGGAATTTAATAAACAGCAATGAAATGATAGTCACATTAATGAAAGAGACACAGGATGACAACTTAATTTCCTGAGATGGGAGACAAGGGCTTATTGGATAGAAGTGAATGTTGAATAGAGCGAGGTCTGCAATCACATTATCAAAATTGGCCAGGAGGAAAGAGAGATACAGATTGAATATCAAATATTGTGCCTTTAAAATATGCGGGGCTTTAAGAAGTAATCATGAAGTGGGGTACATTACTGGAGGACTATTACATTTTCACAAGGAGGAAGCCGGAGGCGGTGGGGTCAGCGAGGCTCGTGAGCGAGTGTCTGGTTGTATGTCTCTGTATTCGCATATACAGTATATATTTATGTATGTGTGTATGTGTGTAATGATTCAGAGATGATGCTGGTTTACATCAGACCTTTGTCTGTCTGCCAAACATCATGCCTGTTCACAACCATGAACCATCACTGCCAAGAAAGGGAAAACAGATGCACACACAGTCTGTCACCCTGGTTTCTGTTTCTTTGGTAAGAATAGCCTTCAAACTGGCTTTTGATGATGTAAAGCTGCCTAACTTCACTATGGGCCCGGTTGTGAGGTGAGCTTTTGTTAGCTCTGAGAAACACAAGGAATCTTTCAGCCACCAGAGATAACAAATCATCCCCCTCTGACCTCTGTGGAGGCTACTTAAACCCGCCGTACCATCCCTTCATCCATAACGGAGGAAAAGAGTGAGCGTATAGTGAGAAACTGAAAGGCTTTAAAAGCACTGCTAACTCCTCTGCGTATGGAGCAGCGAGCTTGAGTTGAACAAGCGTTAACGCCGTCTCTGACAGGCTGAGCTGACGATAATGAGGAGTAATGGCGTTGTGTGCAGACGGCGCTAACGCGCGGTAGCGAGGCAGGGGGTCGGGGCGTCGGCGGAACGGGGTTTCCAGAAAAAACGATGAGAGACGAGGGCTTTGGTGTTGACGTGAGATAGGATGGCTGGTCTCGAGTAGAGTGCCGAGGTATGTAAGTCCTTCATGTGAGAGTGAGCAGGCAGACACAGAAGCGTGCACATATTTTAGAAAATCAAAGCCAGGGTGATCTGCCACCAACAATCTCCACAGAGGTCCAGCATGCTAAAAACCACACAGTTGAAGCCTCGTCTGCCAGCCTGATATGCAGCACTGCGCCACACTTAATGACTCGGAGCAAAGAGCAGGAAAGGAACATCTGCGAGCCACAGCGCTGGGACATTCACGTTCCTCAAAATTCACTTCCAGAAGTAAAAAGACAAAAACAGATGGGAGCAATAAATGAAGTTCCACCATGCTATTCTCCCTCTTTCTCTCTCTTGGCTACTCAAAGGATTTGGATGGATGGAGACGAACAAAAAAGACAAGTCACATACAGAGACGGAATACTTTTGTTCCTGTCTACTCGCTCAAGGGGCTTATACAGTAAGTCCCAGATTTCGTTTGGGTCCACAAATAGAGACAAAATCGAATCCCTTCAGCTTCAGACGGTTCCCATTTAATAACGCAGGAGCTAAATTTCTCTCTGCCGGGTAAAAGGCCATATCTGGCAGCGCTGGATGAGGAAAGCGCAGCAGGATGTCAGCGTGGCCATTGTCGGCGTATATTAGCCCAGGCAGGTCTTTAACATCTGTGTTCAAATGGCCAGCCTGAATCATTGCTAATCCGGACCAATGGAAAAAATTGCTTACTGAAAAGGTCTACTTAAAAAAAAAAAAAATAAAAATAAAAAAAAAAGGTCTAATAGAAAGACTTGGCCTTGGAATGTTTCTCTTAAAAAAATACCTCATTAAGTGTAATGGAGAGGAAGAGCCCCTGGGAATGAAATGAGTGGCGGGGCTAATTGGGAACACTCATGGGTACTCAGACTCCAACAATCTCAGAACCTGAGCATGCTGAAATATGAAGAGGGTAAGACGTATGATGTACGACTTTAATCAGCATTCTGGGCAAGCTGGAAATTTTGTTGTTGTTGGGAATTCATGTTAGTGTGAATTGGCCAGTTTTAAGGGGCTGGAAACGTACTTTCATCATTTTCAGTTCAAAAGCTTTGGGGTCACACAAACCGAATGATTTTTGGCACAAATTGAATGATACTGAATATATGCGACTTGAGTCCAAAAGGGGTAAGCTGGGACGTTGGGGTGACCACATGAGAATGGGTTACATTTTGGGGATGGGTGGTTGGCGGTGGTCGTGGTCACATGGTCGCGGTTGGCAATACCTAATTACAACTCAGGTTTGGTCCAACACTTTGGGATTTGGGACTACTGCTCAGAATTTTGGGACCCTGGGTCACCCTTCTGTGACGGGATGTGACGAGGAAAAAAAAACCATGAAAGTGATTGGGAGGAATGGAAAGAGGAAAGACGGAAAGCTAAATGGAAGAGAGAGAGAGAAGAGTGAAAAGGAGAAGGTCGGGAGAGAAAAAAAGAGATGCGGACAGTGATGCCTTGGAAGACGTGAAGGACAGAAGCATGGGGTCTCCAGTGAAGAAGTGCACAGATTAGATCAATTTCACAGACGCGGGCTGATAACAGGGCCTGGGTAATGAGCAAAGCATGATTTATTAATGTCTGCTTGTTAGAAGCGGAGGAATGAGGCAGAGACAGACCAGGGTTTATACGGGTCAGGGAGAGTAGACTGGCTTCCAGGATGTTTGGATGTAAAGCACAGTCCGTCCCAGACCACAGTGAAAACAACAGGCCCTGATAATGATTGCTAGTGGGACTCCTTTTAGCCCAGAGCCACGGACAGCACTTGCTGACCTACATACATAAACCAACATTTAGAAATCGCAAGCAGTGCACAGTGGATCTCGGGCCGCTATATCACTCCCAGATGATAAACTATTTGTCATCGAGCCCTGAAAGGCAGAATCATGCTTAATGGGTGATGTAATCACCACGCGGAAAGGTGTGAATTATGACTCCTAATCTAGCATCTACAGGGATGTGCTGCGTGTTGAGCCTTTGCTAATCTAACAGAATGGAGCCCGCGTCTGGTACTCATTCACCATATTGTTATTTCTCCTATGAGAGTGCGTGTTTGGACTGAAGCCCACCTATAGACAAATGACACCATGCATTCTGGGCAAGCTGGTGCACAGTAACCCATATCTGGAGACACACACACACACACGCACCCACTGAGCCATAAACATGCCAGGCTGGGATAAGAAATCACCCAGACTTCTCAGAATCTTTCTATAAAGCAAAAGGCAGGCTGATGTGTGGGCAGGATTTCTACGCATCTTTGTCTCCCGGGAGGTTTTTTCCTTGCTCCGGCAAACTATGTTTGACTCCGTGTGTTTTGGGTGTTCTCTCCCTTCTTGTTGTGAGGCAAACAGATGACTCAAAGCCCCTTGCCACACAACAGCCAGAGTGAGGCAAGTCATCCCACATACTAATGAAACCAGAGAGGCAGAAAAAGAATTATTCATGCTCGGGCTTGTAACATCAGCCCGTTAAAGCCTGGCGTGCATGCAATTAGATCGACTGTACTGAAATACGCATCAGGCATTTGATTGAGGCGTGTGTGTGTGCATGGGAATGAATGTCGGGGAGTGACAGGCAGGCAGTGTATTTATGTATTTGTGTGTGTTCCTACAAGTTTCAAGAGATCATTTTCCAATTATCCCTCAACAGTAGTGGCAGCTGTGGGCGTGATCATTAGGTCTCTCTGTTGCTTCACTGTATTATCCATGTGCTGACTGACTCAGATGTGCAGCAGCTTCCAATCTGTGTGTGTGTGTGGGTGGGGGGGGGGGGGGTAACTGAGGCCTCTGGGGAACAAGTTTATTCGTTTTCCCTCACCAAAAAACAACAACAACAAAAATGCCGAGGGTGAGGAAGGAGGGAGCGCTCCTCTGTGTCTGAGAGCAGCTGGTACACATAGACAGTGCCCCCTCCCCCCACAACCTCTGGAAATGCTTTATGGATCTTAAAGGATGGTAGATTTAGGAGAAAGACAGCCCGGAAGCATTTTGGGCCATCAAGTACATGCATGTCTCTAGTCACCTGTTTTTTTATATTTTATATTTTCCGTATACAATCTCCTATTTTAATGTCCTTTGTATGGTAATAAGAGAAAGATGACATTTCTTGTGAACGGACATAAACACGCAGCTACTTCAGCGGTGCAGCTGAAGAGATGCTTTCCAGCCCCAGACGCAGTATTTCAGCAATCTGTTCCCTAATTTCACCTACAGGGCTTTGGTAGCGGAAGCTTTTCGGAATAGCTCCATTACCTGAAAGTGTAATTAATTCCCCTTTCATGAAAATTGTATTACTCAAATGCTGCAGGACCTATGATCTCCACTCACGGCCTTCCATTTATCACGGTGTTTCACCTGACAGTCTATTTTTAGCAACTCCCGACACCTCCTTGGTGGCATTAAATTATGCACATCTTCCGATGTGCCGGTCGTCTGTTTTTTCCCCTGACAAAGAGGTATGTATAAGTTCAGGTGACAGCCGTAATAGAATAAACGGTTGTGTGCTTTGTTGTGAGTGAAGTGTGCTCAGATATGTGCCGTTCTATGATTAAGCTGAATTAACAGCCCTGCTGTGAGAGGAAGCATTTATCAGTGAGCTTTTATTCCTTCCTTCTGAATCACCTTTAAGACTCCTGGGTCATTTCACCGCTCTGAGTCATGATTATGAAACTAAGAAACAGTGATCAGGAAGGAAGAGAGGGCGACCTGATGGTATGTCATGTCTGGAAGCTGCCTGACGATCCTTTCCCAGGATGCACAGCTGCAGATGGCGGCTGACTCTAGACCTCTGAGGCTTTCTTTTTTTTTATTTTTGTCTTCAGCGCAGACGCTGAAAATCACACTGATTACAGCAGTTTTTGTCTTGGGGTACTTACGCGGCACTGTCTCGTTTCATTACATCATGCCATCCCTCATGTTTCGATTTCCGCTCCCACTTTTTGGGCTACTCCACTCGAGCGTGGGTCTCTATCCTCTCATTGATTTTCCAATTGAGAGCCGAGGCCCGGGAGCGGCGAGGCACAGAGAGCGTCCATTGTTTCCATCCGCGCAACGCAATGGTGATCTCACCGGCGGCCACATGCCAGCCTCGGCTCCTCCGCCCTCGCTGGACTTCATCAACTGAGAAGCCGCTGTTAATTGCCACTCCGTATTCTAATTGCTCATCACTCTGCACAGTGGTGAGCCCTGGGACGTGAATAGAGAGACAAGGCGATGAAGGGCGCCATTTCTGCAACTCATTGACCTGGGGTAATTGAGAGCACATTCATATCTGCAGGATATGGCAGAGGGCGCAGGTTTAGCGTCTGACGTTAGGCTCTGCACCCGGGGGGGGAGGGGCTGCAGAGAGGACGAATGCCGCGGCTGCCGGAGCGGCGTCTTCGTTGAGCAAATGAACGATTATTGGTCGTTTGGTTGGCCAGGCGGCAGAACCTGTTATCTTTGCTAAGTGCTGTTTGCCTCATGGATTCACACAGCCCCGCTTCCCTTCCCATGTAAACCCGTGACTAGTTCCTCTGTAAATGGTTGACTGTAGAGATTAGTATCACATGCAGGAGATAAAGGAGCATATTGTGCAAACAAACACTGATATGCTTCTCATGGTTAGTGCTGTCAGCTGTCAGACAAGCGAGATTAAAATCATTTCTCAAATGACAAAGGTATAAGGGACTCCCTATCTCCTATTAAACAATTAAGGTTATCATAATCATACAAAGGCTGAGAAATACCAGTGAGGTAATTAAGGCATTATGCATCCTGGCAAGAGGATAATGGCAGGAGCCGCCGTTAGCTAAATTATAGATATAGAGAGCGAAGTCAGCTCATGAGATAACCTAGTGCATATTGCCATTATGAGATGCTCAATAAAGAGGCTTTCAGGTATTGACAGTTGGATTCTCTCCAGTACAGTGTAAATTATTCATGTTGTGTGTATACGCGATCAATGGCAGCTGTCCGGCGGAGATCCAGCCTTGGGTTTTTATCGCTTCATTCAGGTGCTGTGGTGACTCTCGGTGACCATCAGTTCATTGCTCGGACATATTTGACACTCATCATTCCACACTATGTCAGCTTCTTTGCAATTTCACCCCGCTGTCACGCTCCCCTGGGAACCGTCAGTTTACGGGCCGCGACGCGGCAAAAAAAACATATAGCTTCCTCTCAAAGACGAATGTGTTGTGCAGACGCAGTGTTATGTGTCATTCAGGTTTTCTTTGAGGAGAGTTCATAAAGCAAGGATCAGCCTGTAAGCTTGATAGAGTGGGGGTTGTGCGCACCCTTCATTTCGTTTTTTTGCTGCAACCTGCTGCGGAGGCCCCCGCTGTTCATCCTCCTAATCTTCAAAGATGGCCATTGACTCACACGGGCAGATAATATGCAGAAATCTCCACCTTGATAAAGATCTGTGGACCGACATTTTCAAGAGGAATGAGAAAAAAAAGGAGTGAGACAATCTGAAAGGAACAAGGGGAAAAAAATGAATTGAAGGATTATTGCCTCTTTCTTTGCTCCCTCTTCAAACTGCAAACCCCCTCAAAAGGACATCTGTCCATCTCTGTGTACACCAAAGGGCTGATTAATGGCCTGGCTAACCTGGCACTCGATGCTGAACCACACCACACCAATCTAATTACCCAGAGCAGAGCATCTTCCCCTCCTCCTCCTCTCAGTGCATTAGAATGAAGCGGCATTAAAATGGATGACAAATCTGGATTATGTTCAGAAAAGATAAGAAGGAAAGCAGAGCAAAAAAAAAAAAAAAAAAAAAAAAAGCCCAGGAATCAAGCGGCAGCCCTTCATGAATAATACAAACGGTCGGCCTCAAACTGCAGTCAGGGAATGATAATGAAATAAATAATGAATTGATTACTATGCATCTGACGGCGCACCGAGATGATTCGTACGTGCCGCGAGGGGAGCCTGAGCTTGTTGCGGCACCATGGACAGGCCCAATGAAAGAGGAATGAAGAATCCTACTCTTTTAATACCACTTGTGATAATTGGGCCTCTGCTCGGAGTGCTCGGCACAAGTGCATCGCACTCCCTCGAAAAGCATAAATCAGGTGGCACCCACAGAATTTGCTCTGAAATTAGAGGAGCCCCACTTCGTGTTTTGATGTGATTAGTATCGGTGAAATCAACGCGCCCATTAGAGCAAAATCCAGATTTGACTGCGAAATCAAATCCTCAATGTGATCAATACTACAGCAGAGGGCAGGCTAGAGTGGGAACAAATCATTGTAATCACTTGTGATTTCCACTGACCAAAAGAGAGGCCTGCAAGCCGACGCTGCTACCCTTAATACACATATCTGACTGTGAACAATGGCTTTTCCTTTCAGAGAGAAACATGCTTTAATACAACAGACTGTCCAACTGCTTGAGGAAGTGGTGAGGGAGGCCATGCTTCTTCCTGATCCACTCAGACGCATGCCGGGTTCCTCTGCGGGACAATATGGACCCGGCCAGACCCTCCTGCTCACCCACAAAGCCAGGAACGCACACATGGACACACGTGCATGGTAGAATGCACTCCAAACCCGCACACACACACACACACACACACACACAAATGCTCCAACACTGATTCAATTAGTCTGAAGGAGCAACGGGGGCCCTCAGGAAAATATTTTCACAGCAGTAATAAAGGAAAAGCTTGCGTATGGCCCTTCTTGAGCAAATATTTGGCTTCGGGTCAGCTCTATTATGCATCCCCCGAGGAATATATAGGGGCCCAAACTTTTTCAGCGATGAGGCAAAGACTGTAGAAAAACAGCAGAAAAAGAAAAACAGTCTGGGCATTTACAAGGCCTGAAGGCTTTCGGTTAATAAATCAAACGTGCGGCAAATGCATCCAGGTAGTGCGGCTGGGGGGGGGGGGGGGGGGG